TCAAAAAAAGAGATTCTCCCAAAATCCAAACCAAGTTGGAGGAGATTTCTATTTGCTTGTTTCAGGCCTGACAAAATATTCCATTCCGTACATGAGTTTGTCATTGACAATGGATAAATTCTGAAATTCTACTGAAATGATAACAGTAAATTATTTTTTTACAAAAAATCAGTTGACTCATATATATGCACATTATCACAATTCACAAACACAATAAAAAGAGTGGGATTCTACTGGAGAGAAGGGTACACATCATCAATTTCCTTCTTCCCAAGTCCGACCCCTCTCTCTCTCTCTATATATATATATATATATATTTATACAATCAAAAAATATTTGCCATATTTATGATTTTAACTTTCGAAGCACTCAACAGAACTTTCAACTCCCAATCGTCGAGCTCCCAACACAACCTCTATGACGCAGCGTCGATTGGATTGTTTTGAAAAGTTGTCAAGATGTTCCAATTCACCTCTTCAGAAGAAGCAATGATAGATGAGATAGGACGACTGGCTCTGTGAGTGGCTGAGCTGACTTGATGTTCCGCCGGAGATACTGACGGGACGCCACAAAGATCGTCGTTCACGATGGTGATTCCAACTACCTTCGCTGCTACTCTCATGGCTCCACCCCCTTTCCATGGTTGCGATTGATCGAAACCTAGAACAAAAAAATATATGTAACGATTTTATAATATTTCATAGAGTCAAATTTCTCTGTGATATATGAATGTAGGAGTTGAAGGACCTTAGACATTATAAAATAATATTGTGGATCTTTTCTGTTACTAAAAATGGGAGAGGGGGGATTTTTTTTTAAGGTCCCTGGTATTAAGATTTTATAGCATAAAGGATATCAAATATTTTCATAATGTCTAAGGTCCCTCACACATTGATCCAGAGAAATTTCAATCTCCAGAGAAATTCTCTCCAAATTTCTCTGGACTTAAATTTCTCTGGACTTCTCTTCAAATTTCTCTGGACTTCCCACTGTCTAGAGAAATTCTCTCCAAATTTTTCTGGACTTCTTTCCAAATTTCTCTGGACTTCTTTTCAAATTTATCTGGACTTCCCATTGTCCAGAGAAATTCTCGCCAAATTTCTCTGGACTTCTCTCCAAATTTCTCTGGACTTCCCACTGTCCAGAGAAATTCTCGCCAAATTTCTCTGGATTTCCCACTCTAATTTCTTTGGACAAAGTAAGTTCAAGTCTCATCTTAGCCTAAACTCTCTCTCACTCTCTAATATTTTTTCTTTGGATATATGGTTGCAGAAGAAGCTTCTGATTCTCCAAATTTCTCATAGCCATTATTGGTCATTCAAAATCAAAGAATTTCTCTAGTTACCTACCAGGAAATATTTCTTGGTTATCTAAACTTCTTTATTATTGGTCATTCAAAATCAAACCAAACCAGAGAAATTTGGGCTACTTAGAAACAAAAAAACAATCATAATTTTCTCTGTGTTTTGAACAAACTAGAGAAAATTGTAATTGTTTTTCTCTATGATTATTTTTCTAAGAAACATTTTATCAAACAAGTTAGTTTCAAAGCTCATAACTATATGTTTTACAGTTCTAAAAAGAGTTTTGCCAAACCAAATCTCACAGTTATGTGTTTTGGAGTTCTAAGAAGCAATTTGTCAAACAGTTTAACTTCATACTATATACATGGATGTTTATATGTGTATGAGTTGTGTGTGTGAGAGAGAGAGAGAGAGAGAGAGAGAGAGAGAAATCTCCTCTTGACCAATCAAGAAGAGAAGGATATCACACTCAGGTTCTGTCAAGTGGATCTCTATAACAGTGACTAGAGATATATCAAGGTAGTCACTTTCTGGCTATTTGGTATAGAGTATCTCCATCGGATAAGTTCTTCCAAGAATTGTAAAGATATTGCAGTTAAAGGAATAACTTGAAAATTTCTCTGCATCTAATGTGACAGATGTGACAATCAATCGAAGGTCAAGTCTCATCTTTACAAGCTGCTTCAACAATCCAAAAAGGACATCAATGTGGATTGTCCACTCATGAGCTTCATCAAACATTATAACTGAATACTGAGATAAATTCTCATCAATCAAAATCTCTCTCAGAAGCACACCATCTGTCATATACTTGATTACTGTATCTGGTCCGGTCGGTCCAGTATGACGACGATGAACTCCGATGATGGAGGTAGAGTTCGTCGGAGAGAGAAGAGCAAAGAGAAAAGAAGAGAGGGAGAGGCAGTTTGATTTAAGGGAATCAAATTTCTCTGTGATATATGGGTGTTGGGGATTGAGGGACCTTAGACATCATAAAATAATATTGTGGATCTCTTCCATTATTAAAAATGGGAGAGGGACCTTAGACTAATTTTCCCAAATTAGAGTTACAAAATCCAAATAAGGACTGTCCTATTTATAGATGTAATGGTGGCTGTAAACAGATAACAAAAATGGGAGGGCCGTGTTTGGATGTACAGTAAATTCGGACCAGTTTAATTCCGGTTTATAACTGAATACTGAGATAAATTCTCATCAATCAAAATCTCTCTCAGAAGCACAGCATCTGTCATATACTTGATTACTATATCCGGTCTGGTCGGTCCAGTACAAATGACGACGATGAACTCCGATGATGGAGGTAGAGTTCGTTAGAGAGAGAAGAGCAAAGAGAAAAGAAGAGAGAGAGAGAGACAGTTTGATTTAAGGGAATCAAATTTCTCTGTGATATATGGGTATTGGGGATTGAGGGACCTTAGACATCATAAAATAATATTGTGGATCTCTTCCATTATTAAAAATGGGAGAGGGACCTTAGACTAATTTTCCCAAATTAGAGTTACAAAATCCAAATAAGGACTGTCCTATTTATAGATGTAATGGTGGCTGTAAACAGATAACAAAAATGGGAGGGCCGTGTTTGGATGTACAGTAAATTCGGACCAGTTTAATTCCGGTTTAAAACGAATTTTGGATTTTATTTTATATAAATAAAATCCAAATATTTTCGGCCCAAAAAGATTAGTATTTGACCGAACAAGTCCAACCCAACCTCACACCACGCACTCGCGCTCAAGCCCAGGCCCAGCCCAACCCGGCCGACAGGACAGACGGCGGCGGTGCGCGCGCGTGTGTGGTGATTTTTGGGTCCAATGGGTTTAGCCCATTTTGCCCATAACTTCTCCCTCTAAAACACTTGGGTACCCCTTGGGGCACACTCCAAGTACCAAACCCAAACCTCATAAACCCATTCAAAATTTCCCACCAAATCAATGTGGGATAAGCTATTTTACAACCTTAAGGAATTTCCACCAAAATTCCATTTCCATGGAGCACACTTTGGCTTCAATTTCCCATTCACTCGGTAATGGTTTTGAGCAACCAAATATACCACGTGAATCACAACGCGGCATAGAACGCGTTACCACTTTGACTCGTGAAAATCGACGTACGGGGCCCACCTAAAAAATAGACCAAACTTAGGAAAAAATTCTGGTTTTACTTAGAATTTTATAACCATTTCCAACAATTTTAGCCTGGGCTAAAAAGTTTGGTTTGGGAATTACTTTTGACTTTTTGACTTTTTTAACTTTTTTTGTGAGAGAAGAATGTAATGATTATGGGTTGAATGTGATGTTTTATTTGTTGTGACTAAAATAGTCTATTTTATTTTTTATAGTTAAAATAACCAAAAAAACTCCCAAATCATCTTCCCAAACGGTGCCAACATCACCAATAATCACCAATAGTAACATAATAATGATTACGAAAGGATAAGTATAATTGTATAAATAGATGAGGAGATTTAAGGATAAAGTTATGCAATAATTCAATATCAATTCACACAAACACAATTTTCATCTGTCTCCTTCAAGACTAACCTGATCATCAGAGTGCTCATCTGACAGTACAATCTTATCGGACTCTGTTGTCTTTGTATTGTGCAAGAAAGATTCACCATCTATTGACATTGACTATAGGGAAAGTAAGAATACACTTCCTATCCTACCACGTATTTTATTGAAGAAAAATGAGTGGGTGCTCGAATTTCGTGGGTCGAATTCGAAGAGAGGGAGAGAAGAGAGGAGAAGGAGAAGAGAGGGAGCTGGGGTCCTGGTTCTGCCGACGTCCTCGTCGCCTCGCCGTCCTCGCCGCAGCTCCGTCGCCTCGCCGTCCTCGTCGCCTCGCCGTCCTCGCTGCAGCTCTGCCTCTGCCTCGCCGCCACACCTCCGCCCCTGCCTCAGCCCCGAGTTTGTTGGCCCCCTCCCCTCCCTCTCCTTCTCTTCCTCCCCTCCTCTCCCCTCCTCCTCCTTCTTCCTCCCTCGTCTTCTTCTTCCTTCTGCTAAAAAAAAAAAAAAAAAAAAAATAAAAACGTGAACAAATTTATTATGACAAAAAAAGAGAACGAAAAGATAATTTTTCCATTGGTAATCAGGTCATGTTATTAATCGGATTTTGGATCGGATGTCGCTTTAATGGATTCAGATTTTTTGGGTTGGATTGTGGTTGGATTCAGAAAAATCCGATGGGTTGATAGGCCTAGGAAGGAAGTGTTTGAATACTAATCAGTGTGTTTACTTTGAGTTTTTTGAATTAAATTTTTGAAAATTGATTTTTTTGATTTTCGTACTTTTTTGTTTTTAGTGAATACTTTTAAAATTTTAAACATTTTTTTTTATTTTTTTAGATGCACCTTACTTAGATGTATCTAAAAAGTAAAAAATTTGTAAAAAAATATTTTAAAAAATTAATAAATACATAAAAATACAAAATATGTACTAAATTGTTGTATTTTTTTTTATATTTTTAGTATTTAGTGAATTTTTAAAATATCTTTTTTATAATTTTTTTATTTTTTAAGTATATTTATGTTAGATGTGTCTAAAAAATAAAAAAATACTTAAAATATTAAAAATATTAAGTAAAAATAAAAAAAAGACGAAAAAATAAAAAAAATAGAATTTTATGAAACAGGCAAGGTGATTAGTATTTCCCTTAGAAGAGGAGAGAGAGAGAGAGAGAGTGAGTGAGTAAGGGGGCTTAAAGTTAAACCCCAGAGAAAGGCGTATTTGTGTTCTGGTGAAGTGGATAACGTTTTCTTCTACAACTCTCAGCTACTATTTCTCTTGCCTTGCTATTTCTTCAAACTTCCAGCTTCAGATTTCATAAGAAAAACTACGAATCAACAATCCTTCACATTTGAATTCTAATACACATATACATATATATATATATATATATGCAATGGCTTCCTCGATTCTTCTTCAACAACCCACTCACTGTTTCTTCTCCAATTTCCAGGTACCCCCATCTCTCTCTCTCTCTCTCTCGCTGTGTGTGTGTAATATTTTCACTTCTAAATTTTGCTTCTTATGCCAAGCAGTTGTTGAAATCTTGCCGACATGGATGGGAAACAATCATGTGTGACACAGAGAGCAGCAAAAGAATTCGACCCATTAGAGCTTCTACGGCTGTTGAGACCTTTCCTTCTGCTTCATTCCCTATCTTTGAATCCCCTTCACAGCCCGAAGATTCACTCGCTTCTGAGGTACATACATAAAACCCACTATCCTATCATCCAATTTCTCCAATTTCTCACTTCTCTTGTCATCATTTTTGTTTATTTGTGTTTTTAGGAATACCCTTTGAACTGCAATTGAAGTTCTTTGAGCATGAGTAAAACCCATTATCCTATCATCCATTTTCCACACTTCTCTTGTCATCATTTGCATTTATATGTGTTTTTAGGAATACCCTTTGAATTGCAATTGAAGTTCTTTGAGCATGAATAAAACCCACTATCCTATCATCCATTTTTCACACTTCTCTTGTCATCATTTGCATTCTTTTGTGTTTTGAGGAATACCCTTTGAATTTCAATTGAAGTTCTTTGAGCATGTTTGGTTGTGTTTCTGTTTTTCAGAAACAAAAACAATGGAAAGTTTAAAACACCCACCCTTTTCATGCCATTTTCATTTTTTTGTTAAAAAATTTTGAGGGTTATTTTCCGAAAATTTACCCAAAACATAATTTTTTCTGTGTTTTCTGAGAAATGAAAACATAAAATAAAAACACAACCACACATGCCCTTTGTTTTTGGTTTTATTTTTTGCACTTTATCTATTCTTAAGGTGTAAGAGTTGAATTGCATAACAGTTGGAGCCAGCAGACCCTGATTTCTACAAGATAGGATATGTTCGAAGTGTTAGGGCTTATGGAATTGAATTCAAGGAAGGTCCTGATGGTTTTGGAGTCTACGCGTCCAAGGATGTCGAACCAACTCGTCGTGCCAGGGTCAGTTGCTTTTTTGTTTGAGCTCATGTAATTAAAAGCATTGCAATTCGATTTGTTATTTATTTTTTTCAATGTTGGTATTGGGTTTTACTCAAATGGTAGTGATTATGGGTTTTGTAATAATTGCTTAAATATGAATTGTAATTGGCCTAGTAGATTCCATTGTAATGTCCTCTTTTGTAATTGACTGCATAGGTGATCATGGAAATTCCGTTAGAATTGATGTTAACCATAAGCCAGAAGCTCCCATGGATGTTTTTCCCAGATATAATACCTATTGGGCATCCAATATTTGACATTATTAACTCAACCAATCCAGAGGTAATCATGTTCCTGTTTCTTTTTTATCATCTTATTCTCAAATAGAAATGGTTAATGAATTTTGATTGTGAAAATTTTGTTGAATTGTAGAATAAGCTTCATATTTTTCTGTGTCTCAAACTTGTTTTGCATGAGTTTTTACAACAACCTATTAAGATGCTACATAAGTATCTCTTTTTCTTTTTCTTTCTTTTATTTATTTATTTATTTATTTTTCCTTTTTCAGTTTTTTATTTGATTTTGTTATCTTGCTAGTCTCTTACAATTTGTACTTTGCCGTGGCAGACAGATTGGGACCTGAGGTTAGCTTGTCTTCTTTTATTTTCATTTGATGTCAAGGGTAACTTTTGGCAGCTATATGGTGACTTTTTGCCTAGTGCTGATGAGTGCACTAGCTTGCTTCTAGCCACAGAGGTGTGTCTGGGTAAAAAACTAAAGTTTCAATGTCTTGTAAAATATTTATAATTTGATTTTGCTCTTCATAATTTTTTGAGTTCTAGTTTTTTTCATCAAATTGGCTTTGAATCTGGTGAATTATTCATATAAGGGTGTGCCATATATTACGTTATTGTATAAAGCAACATTTTTTCAAATGCCTTTGAAGCTCATGTTTTGAGTTTTGTGACTTGCCTCATCCCAGGATACAGAAAAATGCTTTGAGAATCATATTAAAGCTCATGATGCAAATAAATAACAGTTATGGCTCATCCCCTTGAGTCCTGCTTGCTGCCTTGAATAGTTAAACTTAATTACATAAGCGCAAAAGAGGATGTCTTCCTTGTAAACTACATTTTATAAACTGTTAAGTACATCTTATAGTTATATATATATATATATATATCACAAGCTAATAATTTACTTTTTCAATTTTATTGTTGTCGAAACTTTTAGATGCTCTGATACATAATAATTTCTCCAGTAGGTATAGAGGTGAACATAGAGCCTGCAAATTATGTCAAGTTAATTTGTTTCTTCGGATTGCATATGCTACCAAATTTTCACATTGTTTTTGCATCATCATTCTCCCACATGCTTTAGTTTTGCCTCTCCTTATTTTTACTGATTTCTGAGTGGAGAAAAAACTGAAGTGTTGAGCTGAACCCTGTGCTTCAAGGCTTTTGAAAGGCATCAATATATCACCATTTGGAGTTCCCTTGATCACTCTCATCTATTGGTTAAGTGAATTCATAGCCTATCAAAACTGAACTTTTGGCTTGTTCAATCGTAATAAGGTAAAAATATTTCACATCCAAATAAAAGGTCCGCAATGCATAAATTGAGTGCCTAGGCATCACTTACTTCATGCTATTTGACGGGATTTCTTGGTAATCCTGTCCACAAATCAAATTATTTCCTGTGTTCCAAGATCCTTGGTTTACTGCCTAACTAAGCATGCCTTTTTTTCTCTATTGTTGTTTATTACCTTGCAGGAGGACCTTTTGGAGCTGCAGGACCAGAATCTTGTTTCAACTATGAGAGAACAGCAACGGAGAGCTTTAGAATTTTGGGAAAAGAATTGGGTATGAGCAATCTGTTTATCCTATTTAAGTCTCGAGCAATCCTTATACCCTCTGTTAAAAGGTTTACTGTTGTAATATGTTGTTGCTTACCCTCTGTCTGGTCAGCACTCTGCCATACCCCTTAAAATAAAGCGCCTTGCTTGTGAACCAGAGAGATTCATTTGGGCAGTGAGTATGGCACAATCTCGATGCATTAACCTGCAAACAAGGATTGGTGCACTTGTTCAAGATTCAAATATGCTAATCCCTTATGCCGGTGAGCTTTTTCCACCATTTTTTTGTTGTCTTATTGTCTAACATTTTGCTATTGGATGTATATTTTCCCCCCTCATAGTCGGGCCCTGGATAGCTTATCAAGATTAAATCTGTCTCTTGTGTTGTGCCATATTTCTAATACAATTGAATTTGAGTTTACACCCAATTTCTTTAAAAGGTGAAAATTTAGTTTTAGTTTAAGTAGAATGATTAAGGAAGGAAAAAAGAGTGCATCAGGAGTAAGTGTTCAATTGGAGATAATGGATCCATCTAGCTGACCTCAAGTAATTGGGACAATGGTTCATTGAGTAGAGTTGAGTTGTGGCATTCTTTACCACCAAATTTTGGTAGCATGGAATTTTATCAGGATGTCATATAGTCGACCCAGTTATTTTTGACTTTCCAATGCAATTGTAAAAAATTAAGGTTTAGTAGTTCTTCAATTTTCACCAACATTAATAAATGAAATTTGTACACTTGTCAAGCAACTGGTAAAATGACTGTAGTGAGCTACAAGCCTGAAAGTGCATGAAAATCTTGTCGGCGCATGTTAGAATTTAAAGCCCCTACTTCCCTATACACCTTGATTTGTTGTAAACTATTTATCTCAATTTTCTCAAATTTGTTGGTATACAAGTCATTTGGCTATTTTCTTACTGTCATTAACTGATTAAATTTAATCATATTTAACAGACATGCTAAACCATTCTTTTCGGCCAAATTGTTTTTTCCATTGGCGCTTCAAGGACCGAATGCTTGAGGTGATGATAAATGCAGGCCAACGGATTAAAAAAGGAGAGGAGGTACTGAAGTACTCCATCCCATTTTATATGTCCTACTTTCCACTTTTGGCAGTCCCACTTTATGTTCACTGGCAAGTCAATAATAGGCCCCCTCGTGTGTTATTGGCTGTGTGAATTGGTCTGCTCATCTTCATAAAGTTTGTATACAACATGAGACGATCTACTAACGGTTTCATAGAATCTATACAGATGACAGTCAATTACATGAGTCCACAAAAGAATGATATGTTCATGCAAAGATATGGATTTTCATCATCCGTGGTAATTTCCTCTCAGCTCCACTCTTTGCTAGAAAATTATTTAATTTTGTCTTACGTTGACGTTGTTAAATTGTGCAGATAATCCAGGTAGTGAAATAACTTAATATAGAAATGCTGTCTCTTTTCAAAGTCAACTGAAAAGAGTTTATGTTTCTTATAGCTATTTATATGAAATTTGAACAAAGGCCAATCAGGTTATGTGGATGTACACAGTATACATACTTGTGCCGCTAGCAAAAAAATGAACAAACTTGTGCCACGTTCTAACACGATATTTTTGCAACTTCAATTCTATTGAATTATCATGTAAATAATAACGTCGAAAATACTTACTCAAAAGCAAATAACATCGAAAATAAACATGATGAAATATAAAGTTGCCATTTTTATTAATTAAATGATAATTATATTACAAGATATCCGAAACCATGTCTCCTTGTCACCAACTAGAGCCACAAGAAGAAACCTTTTTATTTTTTGAATTTTTTGGGCACTTTAAGTTTGATGTGTTTATTAGTTGAATTTACTCTAATTAACACTGCTGTAATCTTGTTTTGACAAATGCAGAATCCATGGGATGTTATCCAGTTCTCTGGCAATTCACAGATTCATCTGGATTCCTTCTTGTCTGTCTTCAATATATCTGGCCTTCCTGAAGAATATTATCATAATAGTATGGGTCATATAAATATTCGGTTCACAGAGTAGGACTTTTATGTTGTGTTTGGTTGGGGGATTTGAGGAGCGATTTGGAAAGGGAAAGGGAAAAGGTATGTGAAATTAGGTGAAATATAGGCATGTTTTATTCACATTTCACCTAACTTTTCAATTTCTCTTTCCAAATCCCTTTCCAAATCTCCCAACCAAACACAACATTAGTCTACAGCTTTATATCTGCCACTGGTCAGTAACCAGGTTTAGTTTTCTTATACAATCCATATATTACTTATGGCAGGTCAGTTATCAAGTGATGGAGAGACTTTTGTTGATGGAGCAGTCATAGCAGCAGCAAGAACTTTGCCTACTTGGTCAGACGGGGATATGCCTCCAATCCCAAGTGCGGAAAGGAAAGCTGTGAAGGAGTTAAAGGAAGAATGCTTACACATGCTTGCAGAATTCCCCACAACTTCTGAGCAAGACCAACAAATCCTAGGTTAAGTTTGCTAGGCTAAATCCTCTCACTATCATGCGTAGATTGTCTGAGATATGGTGGCCAATGCCTTAAACCTAAGAAGAGTGGACGCTTTTAAGAAGATGCATGTCTGTGTCTGACACTTCTCGACATCCTTTGGATACACATCCATGTTGGATTTAACATGGTATTAAGCTCTAGTTAGAAGAGATTTTTGAGTTCCAAGTCTCTCCTTTTGCATTATTTCTGTCATTGACATTCTTTCTTTGCTCTATGTATGGGTGTTTGCTCCACGAGCAAGACGGGATTGCATGTTTTTGGCATTTTGTTCTTGACCATCAAGTCATCAACATTCATAAGAGTTTGAATAGGGTTAGGTGTTCGTTTAACATTTCACTTTCTTCCTTCAAGTGATTTTGAACAACTTCATTTAAACAACAATGCCCTAAGCACAACCTGAATAATTTAGGTGGGTCTAAATAGACCTATATTGAGAAATTTCTCGTATTTAATATGTTTGTTTTTGTTTTTTCTTGTTGCACAGACTCTATGCCAGAAGCTAGAAGAACGCTTGAAGCTGCAATCAAGTGAGTACTCGTGTCTTTTTCTGCTAAACTACAATCCTCTCATCGGCTTACCATTCCATACGTAGCCTCTTGATGCAGTGAAATTTGAGATCTGATATATTAATAGAGTTTGCATTTGCAGGTATAGATTACACCGAAAATTGTTTGTTGAGAAGGTCATCCAGGCATTGGATATTTATCAAGAGCAGATATTGTTCTAATCATAGCAAATTTTTACAGTTCCGAGACAAATCTGTTTTCGTTGCCAAAACGGGCACTGGTTTCGACTATACATGATTACTGCAGTAATTTCCATGTCGAATTTGGTAACAAATAATAGTAATTTCCATGTTCAAGCGTGTGATAGTGTGTATTGATTTTTTTTTTTGGTTTCATTTATATTTCAGTTCTTCCCGTTTTATTTATTTATGTGGTAAGGCAGCACCTCAAAGGAAATGATTATTGATAGTGCCTGATTTGCTCGTTGAAGGCAGAAATTGGCTTCTATATGATATACCATGTCAGATCCATTGCAAACTTGAAATTTAAGAAAAATTACAAATCATGTGTATTTTTCAAAAATAATTATTTACACATGAAAAAGTTCATTATTTTAATAACTAAAATTTATGTACTTTACACCATTACTTTGAATTTTTTTTCAACCCCTACACTGATTTGTTATTTTTCCTAAAATTTGTATAAAAAATTAATGCATAATTGAGGTTATGAAGGTTTGCTCCGTTGTTGATTTTAGAGTATTGGGATTAATCAAAGTGTGCGCAAATTGATTTGAATATCTAATTTAAAAAAATATATTTATAGAGTAAATTATATTTGTCTCTCTATAATTAGTCCTTTTATCACTATGATCCTTGAAACTCTTTTTTTTTTTCTCTCTACTTTGGCCTTTTGTATTTTAATTTTCTCTTGCGTAAATTATACTTTAACCTTTTGTGACTTGTCTAAAATTACAGAATTTTACAGTTTTATTTGTAGCACTTAAATCCCCTATACTTCGTACCAAAGTACAATTTGCGATGCATTTGTTTATTTAAACAAAACGTGTGTTGCACGATCATAAATGGTGTGTAGAGCAATTTTTCCGTCTAAAAATATATGATAAATGACCAAAACACCCTTATTATAATATATATATATATATATACACATACAGATCAAGACCAAACAACATAGTCCTGTTTGGTATAACTGTTAAAACAGATTATAGATTAGCTTAACAGATTATATATTATGACTTTAATCAGAAGCGGTTAATCTATTTGGTATAACTGTTAGATTATGGATTTAAGTTGCTATGAAGTAATTTTTTCAATTAATTTTTATTTTTTATTATTCACTATTTGTCTACATTTTTCATAAAAAATAATAATAATATTTTATAGTCTATTTGTGTCTTTTTTTTTATTTTTAAAAAAATAAAAAATAAAAAAATCTAAGAATATAACCGTGAATTAACAACTGATAATCAGAAATAAGAGATGAACAACTTTTCAGAATTAACTTTTTTGAGTTAAAATAAATTATTAAAATCAGAAACTATTTAAAATAAATTTAATCAAACAACCTAAAATAACTTTTTAAAAACTAAAAATAAATTGACTTAAAAAAGTCTCCCCAAACACCCATGCAAGTTTAAACTCAAATTTGCCCAAATGTTCCGAAAGTTGCCCAGATTGGGTTTGAAGGGTTGGGCGTGGCGATATCTCAGAGAACCAGACAAAACACACAGGAAAAGCGAGTGAGAGAGAGATAGATATACACCTATCTCTATTCTCACTTCTTGTGGGTTCTGTTAATTTGTTCACCCTAACCCCTCTTCTCCTCTCTCTCTCTCTCTCTACACCATCATCACAGCCTTCATCTCTCTTCCTGGTAAGCACTCTCTGCGTCTCTTTCTCTCTGTATTCTGTGTTCCTATATGTATATATATGTTTCTATAATCGCCTTCGTTTTTCTTGAAAAAATGAGGATTTTAGGGTTTGGGACGCAAGAAGATGAAAATAAGAAAATTGAAGAGATTTTTTCCTTCTATGCGTTTAATATAAGAAATAAGGACATATTCATTTGATTTTGAACAGATGAACAATTTTATTTTATTTTTATATTTTTTTGATACTAGAACTGCTCCATTAGCTTGTTTGATTGGTTCTTGTAATGCTTTTAGAAAATAAATTTGATTTTATTACTGTTTTGTTGAATGTTAGCTAGTGGTTTGGTTAATCTGTATACTTACACTATTATAATGGGAAAAAAGAGTCAGGCTTGAAGCTCCTTCACATTTTCATTTGGCAAAATATGACCATAAAAACAACACATTTTGTAAACCTATTATTGCATTTGAACTAATCAAGAATTACAATCACACGATCCAACTTTTGTTTTCTATATCATCTTCCTTGCCCAAACCTTATTTGCTTGTCCAGCCTTTATGGGTACCTGTGTGTCTCTACCATCTTAAAATGGTTGCTTTCAGATTTTGATTTATGATTCCTATTTGTGTTTTGCATGATACAAATTTGGGGACTCTGCCTCTATGCCTTCTGATCCGCCTCTATGGATTACCCGAAATCTATCTGCTAACATATAGAAATTTGTTCATTTCTTCACTCTTCCTTTTATTCTGATAGTGAAATTTTTAAGTTTCGTGTTTTGTGGGTTCTCAACATTAGACTGTATTAGTCAAATGAAAGGAAACGACTCAGGGATGTAAAATATCTAGGGGTATTTATGACTTTTTACAACTTTTGTTACGTCCGCCGCAAATTGCATTCTGGTATGAAGTATAGGGGGTTTAAGTGTTACAAATGAAACTATAAGGGGGCTCCGTGTTTTTTAGGCAAATCACAGGGGGTTAAAGTATAATTTATTCTTTTTTTTTGAATTTACTCTTAAAACTAACTTATGTTTAACATTAGATAGAAAATGTGACGTTAACGGAAAAAAGCCTTGGATCTCAACTATTGGGCTTAGCCTACAATTTAGTGGGTTAACCCGAATATACTAAGCCCATTAAGCAGCGCTTGGGTTTATGGTTGTTAGCCTTGAAGTTGAAGCACATTTCTCTGCACTGTCAAAAGAGGTTTTGGGCAGAGGATTCAAATGGAGTGGTGACTGACACTTCCGATCGAAACCACTGACAATCTTTCTGTACACTTCTCTCATTTTCGATTTTCACAAGTTTTTGTGTTCTGAAATCACTATACACTGTTTTCACCTTTTAATCTCAGTTTCATGTTATCAATCGTATGTACTATGCAAACCGATCGTGACACATCTGTAACATATAAATTGGGAGCTCTTTGATGAATATATTCCACTTGAAAAGAAGAAAAATGGGTGGGTCTTTGTTAGTTGCAATTAGGGTGTTGGAACTTTTTGTGTAGTTTTTCGAAGCTACTTTAGGTGCACACCAACTATTTGATGATTTGTTGATGTGGCCAATTGGGGTTGGAGATCTTTGTAAATTGCTAGTCTTGTTGTGGTCATTTATGCATATTTATGTATGTAAGTGAAAGTGAAAGGACTGAAAGGCAAACACTTTATATGATGCTAGTGCGCTGCACACGCAATACGTGTGCAATTCAAAAACATGTAATAGTATAAGAATAATGATAAAGAAAAATGCACATATAGTGTGTTGCTCATTTGCCAAGCCCATGATCTTAGTTTCAATTCAAGTCTTGTCCTCTTCTTTTTTACATAAACATCAACTACAGTGGTATTTTGGAAAAATCCAAAATATGAGACAAATGTGTCAACACCACCAGCAGCCTTCATTTTATATATTAGAATAGGTAGATTTTTTTTTCATTCATTTGTGATTTTTGATATCAATGGTTTACAATCTACCAGAAGAATCTTTATTCTCTGAACCTGTCTCATCCAATTGATACGTTGTTGAATTTAGTAACTCTGCATTCTAGTGCTTTATCTACCAGTAGGTTCTGATGATAAAAAACAGCCATTGTTTGAATTAGATACAGAAAGGATGAGCCTTGGCAGCTTGAAGAGCTTGTTGGCTGAAGCAGCCATCAAAGGAGTGACTGAGGCAAGGGCAAGGATATTTGGTCATGTACTTAACCCAACAGGGCAAAGATCTCCACACAAGATTTTACGCAAGAAGCTTATTGGTGAGAAAGTTGCACAATGGTATCCATATGACATCAATAAAGATGATCCCCTTGTCATGGCCCGACAAGAACAAGAGTACTCCCTAATCCTCTCTCTTTCGCTCTCTCTCCCTACACACACACACACACACACACACAGATATGCGTAGGCGTACCAATTGTTTGTTTTTGCTGTTTGCTCATATTTTCCTATTTGCTTTTGTGGCTTCCCATTGAAAATATAATGTTCTTCTTGTGGAGGAGCTTCATGTGGATTAAAGAGGATATCTTAGTAGATAAACCAATCATTTAGATTCGATCACTTCATTGTGGTGAAATTTTAACTTGTGTACGCTATATCTGTCTCGTAGATGTCACTATGCACTAGTATGTTTGTCTCAGGTACGATTGCTCATAATTTTATGTAGTTCCGTGCATTACTGATGCATTTTTCTTCTTGTTTATGACGGTATCTCATCTCTTCCTTTGTTTGCATTCACACTTACATGATCACTTTAACCATATTCTTTAGATTGGCACAGCCTCTGGTCATTCATTTGGTTAAGGCTAGTTTGTTGTGAGGTTTGTTATAACAACACTTAGCAGCTGTTTGGTTGTCTTTTCCTTCGTTTACTTCCTACAATTATTAGGGTCCTAGTACACATCCCGTAATTCGTTAAAGAGTAGAACTGATGAACTGTAATGGTGTATGTAGTTGTGTGTGGACTAAAGCCATGTCTTCTATATTCTTATTCGAAAAGATAACCCCTGGAGTATACGTACATTGAGCTTCATCGGCACATTTTGTGAATACCTCTTAACTTCTTGGATTTACTTTAATCTTTAGTATATGTTTGCTTCTTTATTTCATTCAGTAATATCTATCTTGATCATTTTGCGATATTGACCCTGCTTTTACATACAACGTCTAACCACCATTCTGCATTCATATACACTATGAAAAAGGGGTTTACTATGGTCTATTTCTTCAGAAAATACTCCCAGTAGATACTGGTAGGTGCCCCACTGTACAACCTTCCAACCTATGAAGCACGGGTACTCCAAAAATGTTGCCATACAAGTACCGGGTGCGGGTACGCGTACCGGTACGGCTGCACACATACCGGGTACGCCAAAAATGCACCGGGTACATTTTATACTGTCAGTATACTGATGGGTATGCCATGGGTACGTTTTTGGTTACTCCGGGGTAAAAAATGAGATTTTTTATAAATTAAAGGGTACCGGAGCAATTTTTTGTGTCTATTTTAAAGAATTATAAAAATCTGAGGTTCTTTTGTAATAAATAAAATCTGAAACCAAATAAAATTAGGGTTCTTTATTCTCTCTGTCATTCGATCATCTCAGCTCCTTCCATATCTCATTCCGAAATACTTCAAGACTGAAGAACTTCGAAGGTGCTAGAGTTCCATGTCTATTCGATCATCTCCTTCCAGAAATACTCCCAAGAGAGTCTGAAGAACACTTCGGAGGTGCGATTGAAAGGTTTAATCGAAGGTGCTGCTGATTGATTCTCTCCTTCGAAGGTGCGATTGAAGAAGTAAGTTCATCTTCGGTTCTTTCCCCTTTTCTTCTTCGATTCTTTATCCTCTCTTCTTCCATTTTTTTTCTCCAAATTTTTGTGCTGTTTCTTCGCTGCAAACGACCGATTCTTCTCTTCTCTTCTCTTTGGTTTTATCTTTCTTTGATCCTTCATCTTCTTCTGCATTTTTCTTGAACTCTCTCTCTCTCTCTTTTTTTTTTTTTTTTTTTCCTGATATATGTCCAGATTTTTGAACTAAAATCTGTCCAGATTTGTTGAACTAAGGTCTGTCCTTATTTATTTATTTTTTCCTGATATATGTCCAGATTTTTGAACTAAAATCTATCCAGATATGTTGAACTAAGATCTGTCCTTAATTTTTTTATTTTTTTCTGATATATGTCATATATATATGCAATATGATAGTGGTTGTAAAGCTTGATGACAAATTAAAATCCCTTGACACCTTAAATTCTCTTTCGTAGCAGTTTATTTTGAGGGGGAGGGATGGGGGTTTTGTAACTGAAAAACAGAGCATTAATTTGTGATGCATAACCATTGGTTTTGAGTTAAATTAAGGCCTTGTTTGGGAATAGGCTTTTTTAGTAACTTTTTGGCTTTTTGCCTAAAATGTGATGTAAAAAAAACTAGTATGTTTGGGATGACTTTTTGATTTTTACGAAAAGATGTGCAAAAAGTAGAGAAAAAAGGAAATCTTTGACTTTTTGATATGGATTGTTGGCTTTTTGGTTTTTTTAGTAATTTTTTGACTTTTTGGCTAAAAAAGACACTTGCCAAACGAGGCCTAAGTTATCTGTCTGTTTCCACATTGGTTAATTTCCTTGCAAGGCTTGATGTTGTGGGTGGATATGATTGGTTATTGTTTCATTGTCTTTCATGAACTAAAATTGAGAGATACTTTGTAGGTCAATATGGGAATCAGATTGAAAGGTGTTGTGGTGTCCTTGTTCTTGTCATACTTGTCACTGAAATATATATTTTATTCAATATATGCAATATATTAGATTTGCCCAAATTGTTATTTAAATATTTGATGAGCAAAAAGAACGATTTTTTGGGTACCTTTACCCATAATTTTAATTTTAATTTGTAGGTTGGATCTTTTAACCATAATTATAAAAAAAAATATTGGCGTATCACAGCCGTACCCGTATCATACTTTTTTGGGATTTTGCCGTATCGGCGTACCCGCACTCGTACTCGTACCCACACCTGCACCTGTGCTTCCTAGCTTCCAACCATAATGGCACTAAATCTAGGGTGGATGAGAAAAGCAGTGAGAGTGAAAAACTGGGAATTATTATGGCCATTATGCTCTAACTGACATTTTCCCATTCAGTTTGACGACAGTGGCCCACAAATCTACCATTTTAAAAATTATAAGGACGATCTGGTCAATTAGTCTCCATGGGATTTTGTTTCCTCTATTTGCCCAGTATATTCACAATTTAACTTTGTGCATGTTGTGAATGCGTTGAGTACTTGCTCACTTGTCCCTTACTAGCCAATGGGAAATGGTAAAATGCCAGTCTTGATGTTCCTTTAATATCTTTGTTGCTTCTGTTTGTCAGGGATCCTCCTCTCTCTCTCTCTCTCTCTCTCTCTCACACACACACACACACACACACACACACACAGCTATGGTTCTACTGCTGGAGTGAGCAAGCCATCATTTTGTCTTGGATTCTTTTACAACTCATAATAGAGATGAATCATTTGAAGAGATGGAACGAGGAAGAAGGGAATAAATTGATTAGTCACCAGTCGATTCCTATGGAAATATATTGAATTTGTGTGTGCGTTTGGAGAAACTGATAATGTCTTTAGGGTGTGACACATTGCAAAATAACATGTGCAGAAGCAAAATATGTGACAGGATTCTCATTTTGTATGTATGCTTTGTGCAGGTGCTTATACATTGCAAAATAACATGTGCAGAAGCAAAATATGTGACATGATTCTCATTTTGTATGTATGCTTTGTGCAGGCGCTTATCCAAGCTTGAAATGTTGAAGCGTCGTGGAAAGGGACCCCCTAAGAAGGGCCAAGGAAAGCGTGCAGCCAAACGTAACAAATAGATCTCTGCAACAAATAGATCTCTGCAAATGGCATTGGAAGAACAGGATCATGAGTTAAACGTTTTGTAGAACACAGCTGCTTTTGGTTGTTGACTGATTTTAATGACTTTCAGGATTTAATGTTTCATTGATTGCACTACATCTCGTCTTTTCTTTTTTTTCTTTTTCGTTTTGATTGTCTGTACATGTTACAGACCATTATTCATGGTACTGTTCACTTCAGCGTGTTGTTCATCGCTTGAGCAGTGAAATTATCTTGCAGATTTCTCATTTATTTTTTGGCTCGAAAACTTTATTCATTTGATGGCTAGTCCTCCCACATGTTTTCTGACCAGATAACCCGACTTGAGAGAGCAGAAACTATTCATAGACAAGGATCCCACATGTGGATCCTGTTGAAATGTGTCATACATCGTCTAGAGGTTGCCACATCTGTATTGATTATAAGGTTTTAGTTTCACTTTTCTTGATACCTGGGTTTTAAAGAGAAGTGTCGGTTGAGCTTTTCAATTTGGTATCAAAACTTGGTTGAGCTTGTGACTGGTGTATCATTTGTCCAACTGCTGTTTGTTGTGGTCTAGGAGAGTGTTGAAATGTGTCCTATTTCGCCTGGAGTTTGCCTCATTTGTGCTAGTTTCCTTTCCTTAATACCTGAGTTTTAAGAATAAGTGTGAATTGGATTTTTCACTTGGTCCCTTCTTGTCTCTTCCCTGTGAATTATTTTTTAAATGATTCCTTGTACATGAAGCATAGCTGGGGAATCAATCTATCAAGTGTCCTCAACATATCTCCATGTCCCATAATTCAACAATAATTTTGGGCACTATTTTACGTGTTTGACATGTGTTTGAGTGTCACTGTTCTAGACTGTTCGACATTAATATGTCGGTCTGGGAGAGGTGTTCATGCTTCCTATCACACAATTGTTACTCACACATGCAAAAGTTAATTTAGCCTCCGTTTGGAAAGTGGGTTGTCTTTTTGACTTTTTTAGCTATTTTAACCTGGACTAAAAAGTTTGGTTTGGGAAGAATTTTTTGGCTTTTTTGACTTTTTTTGTGAGAGAAGAGTGTAATGATTATGGGTTGAATGTGATGTTTTGTTTGTTATGACTAAAATAGCCTATTTTGTCTTTTGTGGCTATTTTAGTCACAAATCAACTTGCCAAACAACACCATTGCTCCTTGCTAATTTATTATGCTTTTTTTTAAATAGAAGGTTCAAGGTGGAGTCTTGAGAAATACTCTTTTCCTTCAATGCAATATTGCAAATTTAAACGAAATAAGCAGGCAAAGAGAACAAATGAAACCGAAATTTTGCTCATAAATATGAAATTAATTCAAGTTCCTAAGAAACAATAATAAGATCATGAACACCAAGATACCAGAAATTGAAAGCACCACAAGTTGGCGAGGTTGACTAATCTGAAATTGAAGTTTGAGATGCTTGCCAGTCTAGATTTTGCAAAAGGAAAATAAAAATCACTATTGATGTTGACCAGATGCAAACCACAATTTTTTTTTTCCCTTCTAAATTTCGTTTATACTTGGTAACTCGAAGCTTGAAATCTATTTACTGATCCATGAAGATATATAACTTTAGTATTACAAGCTACAACTTACAATCATTGAGATGTTACAAATGGTATTTGAATATAAACAAGACTTCTCATAAATGCCGCAGGAATTTGGATGATTTTCACCAATAATCCCCACATGAACAATTTCCATCCTTCAAATGATGGAACCTCCTCACAATCCTTACAATAATCTCCCTCCCCACAATCTTTGAGATAAACTTGGTCGCAACATGACAATCATTACAAACTCTGAGGTTCTTGGCAACTCTAATGGTAGTACCAGGGGGGGTATTGAGTATACCAAACGCTATAGCTAGTTTCCCGCTGTGTCCACACAGTAGATTCTCTTTTTCCTCTTCATTGACAATGTGAAGAACACAAGAAGTATCTGGAACATAACCCTCTTTTCTTATTCTCTCTGCCAATGTCTCGAGGAAGCCATGGAGCTTCTCACTTTGAGGGTGCAAAGAATCCCCGGCTGTGAATTTATGAACTTCATCATCAAACTCAACCCAACTACAACCGTTCTTTTCTTACCCCCATTTCCTTCATGTTTTTCCGTACTTCTGTTGCTTTATCCTAAAGCCTTGCAGATGAATATATATTAGATGGTAGAACGTAGTGGCTAGTGACATCTGGCTCCAAGCGAAGGAGATTCTTGGCTGCTATTTCTCCAAATTCAACTTTTTGGTGGATCTGGCAAGCACCAAGCAAGCTACTCCAAGCTCCTATCTTGTCAAATTCACAAGGCATGGCATTGACCAGTTCATGCACTTCCTCTAGTTGACCGGCTCGACCAAGCAAGTCAACGACACAAGCATAGTGATCTGATGTGGGTTCTATGTGGGTTCTATTCCATAGTCGTCTTTCATTCTATAGAACAAGTTTACGTCTTCATTTAGCGTCCCAGAGTGACTGCATGAGGCAAAAATTGCAATAAATGTTACTTCATTAGGTTCAACTTCCTCACCCCTATGTTCTTTTCCCACCATACTCTTGAAAAGTTCAAAGGCTTCCTCTCCCTTCCCGTGCATTCCATAAGCCATAATGATAGCATTCCATGTGATGATGTTTCTAACGGGCATGTAATCAAATATTCTCCTGGATAAGTTCAAACAACCACATTTTGCATACATGTCGACTAATGCGCTTCCCACCGCAACATCTGATGCCAATGCATTTCTAATAGCATAAGCATGGATCTCTTTTCCCTTTGCTAGTGCTGCCAAGGCAACACAACCAGGAAGGATTGTCATGAGTGTTATTGCATTTGGCTTTAAGGAATGTTTCTTTCATCCTCATGTTCATCATTCTTTTCTTTGAATCTTTGCATCTCATTTAGCATCACAAGTGCAGTCTCGTGGCATCCGCAAAGTACATAAGCTGTGATCATTGTATTCCAAGAAACTATATCTCTAATCTCCATGCTGTTGAATATATTTCGATACTTCTTTCTTCCCCATCCTACAATACATGTCCATAAGCGCATTTTGCACATACCTATCAGTTCCAAAACCCAACTTCACTACATATCCATGCATACCTTCTTTGTCGGAGAAAGCTTCACAATCCACACAAGCTGGCAACGCGCTTGCCATTGTGGTGGTGTTAGGAAAAAGCCCCGAGACCTCTACCATTTGCATGAAGAGAATTAAGGCCTTGTCATTGAAACTATTTTGTGCATAACCTGCAATCATAGCATTCCAGAGCCCAAGTCGCCTCTCTAAGATACCATGAAAAATGTTACGTCCACTGTCAACTTCTTTGCAATTGCAATACATGTCAACTAAAGCACTACCCATGAAAGAATTCCCAATAAATTCATCGTTTCTCAAGGCATACACATGAATTTCCTTCCCCAACTATAACAACTCCAAATGGGAGCACGCAGGAAGAACACTTGCAATTGCGACCCCATCAGGCTTAATTCCTTCAAGAACCATGAGGCGCAAAAATGTCAATGCTTCATTAAACCGGTCACTTTGTGAGAACGAACTTATCATGGTGTTCCAAGAAACCATGTCTCGATCTCCATACAACTCAAATATAGCTTTGGAGTCATCAACTCTTCCTAGTTTGGCATACATGGCCATCAAAGCATTGTTCGTAAACGTTTTTCAATCATCAACCCTCAAACCATACCCATGAACTTGCTTGCCAAGACGCAACCCATCATGCAATTGGAACATGCTAATGCCACGCTCACCAATGTAAACGAGCTAAGCTCCACTCTCTCTGATTGCATCATTCGAAATGCTTCTAACGCGAGCTCCCACTCCTCAAACTGACACAAAGCCGATATCATCGAGTTCCAAGAAACTTGATCTCTTTGAGGAATTCTATCAAACACCTTGAACACATCCCTAATATCTCCGCATTTTCCATACATATTGATAAGGGTATTAGCCACAGTCACCGACGATTTGCTGTACCCAAGTTTCACAGAAGCAGCATGAATCTTTTCGCCACAATTCAAGTCTTGAATGCCAGTGACTGCTTTCAGAACGGTCGGGAAAGCAAAATTGTTGGGTTTTTCGCCTGCCATTGTGATTTCGATGTACGTAGAAATGGCTTTGCGGAAGTGATTTGATCGGGTTTGGGATCGAAGAGCTTCGATCCATGAAGCTGTGGAGAGCGATTCAGACCTGGGTTTTGGAAGGGTTTTGGTGGAGATGGGAGTGAAAGTAGTAACTGTGGTTGTGGTGGTGGGTTGGGGACTCTGTTTTTGGAAAGTGGGTTGTTGGGTTTGGAGGGAAGAGACAGTGAGAGAGAGAGGAGAGGGAAGCTGTGTCAATGCAGACATTGGTAGTTATTCAAGTTAGATTTAGGCTTTGAAGCGTCTCTATCTGAAATGAAGATACAGTTTATGATTTTTCAGAGAAAGGATGTTACAGTGCTTCCACTCATATTTTAAAGTTTAATATAATTGTATTGATTTGTTTTAAAATTTTAATTCAAATAACCCCCCATTCTTTTTTTACAAGTAATTTATTAGTTATATGAATAAATATATTTGTCATATCTTTTAATGGGATGGCTAAAAACTAAACTCATTATTATGTGTGTAAAATGTTTATTAATTTAGAAAAATAAATGTATATTCCAATAATGTAACAAAATGTGTTACCTAGTGTATACATAATATATATATATATATATATATTGATAACAAGATGTCTTATACTTGAATTAATTCCGGAACTCACATAAAGTGTCACATCCACGTAAATCGAGTAAATCTCAGGCAGAGTTTGTGGGCATGGCTCCAAGAAGTTGATGACACTTAGTGGGAGTTAAATTTGAGATCTAGAGAAAGTACACCTCTAAACCCCAAGCTGCATCCACTAAGCTAATTCCTTAGAGTTTATATATATTTTAGATAAACAAAATGGATATGTAGATAAGTTGCTCCATATACCCGCCAAGGATTATTATTCTTTAGCACCCACAACGCATCTGCAGGAAATTTCACCTCACTTACATTGAGACCAAAGGTAAGACACTTGGTTTCCCCTTAACACTTACAGCGCATCTGTAGGGAATCATACCGCACCTACATCGGGGCTAAAACTAAGGCCGCTGCGTACTCTAAGCACTAAAAATATGTTTAATCTCAATAAGGAGTTATAGAGATTCAAACCCAAATTTGTTGCGGTTGTTTACATATATTATATACCTAGAGAAGGAATTAAAGG